CCACAAGTTTACCCCTCATGCCTCACCACAGGAACCCCAACATCCTGAAATTGTCCCCCTCACCTCTCAGCCAGGTCAGTTCCACTCTGAGTGAGCCCCATACCCCTCAACATGTACCCCCTCACCATGGGATCCCCTTCACTCTGAGTGCACCCCTACCCTGATCTGACTCCCTCACCCCTCACCCTGTGGTTGGGGTGGGGAAATCTGGGCGCCATTAATGATGACTACTGCCACCAGTGGGGGATCCAGCCTAGTGTGCACCTTCATAGTTAATACCTGATGCTACAGGGTGAGGCAGGCTGGGCTGAAGGCAGTTCCAATTCCCGCCCTGGCACCCTGATCCCCGTACCATGTGCCTCAACTGACCCGATGGGTCAGGGTGATCCCAGGCTGCCAGCCACTGGCCTATGGGCCTTGGGTGCTTGATGGTCCTGATGGTGATCTGGACCCCTAGGCCGGAGGCAATGGGCACGCAGACCTTTGGGGTGGGGGAGTTCAGAGGGTACACTTGAGCCCAGGGGTAGACAACAGATGGTGGGCTGTGTGCATGGGGCTGTGTGCGTGGCCTGGTCTCAGCCCAGGTGGGTGCATGGACATTATTCATTCACACCATGTCAGAGGGGAGAGGGACGGAAGCTTTTAAAGAGTCAGTTAGGAAGCCAAGGCTGGAGAGCAAAGTAGGAAGGTGCACTGGCCAGGCCACCATGGAGCCTGCCGCGACGCTGGTCCCTTGCATCTGGGGAGACTGGCAGTTGACTGGCCAATGAGACATCCCCTGCTTTGGTATAGTTTACAGGCAATTGAAGGGATTTTGACAGGTAATTTGAATCCAATAATTGTCCCTTTCTCTGTGGGAGATCAGGTCCAAAGTCATGGTGAATCTGGCAGGGATCCTGCCTGAACTCCAGCTTGGGAAAGTGGAGGACCCACCCAGGAATCATCCTCTTAACTCTCACCAAAAGGCACTGTAATAGAGAAGAACAAATCTGACTCCATATTGGATCTGTTCCTTTTCCTTTAACCCTCTGCCCTGTTTTCTAGGCTTAGTCTTGCTAGTTCTGCTCCTTTTGAAAACAATGTTGCCTTTAGCCTGAAGTAAACAGGACAGCCTATGCTCAGGGTTCTGAACGTTAAGGAAATTAACACTTTTGCACTCCTATAAAGATAACAAGTTGCAGAGTAGAAAAAGTTTGTTTTGTTGCAGGTTTTACAGGAACACCATGATCTGACCCACGTGGATAGCTACAAAGGATTCCAAGAACAAAGAAATCCTACACCAAGAAGTTTGCAACAACCAACCACAGCCCCTCCCCTTTTCAATAGAAAAGGAGCCTGAAGTCTGACTTGGGGAAGATGGTTTCCAAGATTTTATTCTGCCATTAACTTGATCTGCAGCTGTCTAAGTAGACCAGGTCATAGTGTCTCTGTAAAACCTCTAACAAAACAAAAGTTATTTTCTACTCTGCAATTTGTTCTTTTTTATTGAAGTGCCAATGTGTTAATATCCTTAAAGATCAGAGCCTTGAAAATAGGCTCTCCTGTATATTTCAGGCTAAAGGCAACATTGTTTTACAAAAGGTGCAGGGCTAGTAAGACTAAGCCTAGAAAAGAGGGCACAGGGTTAAAGCCAAAAGAACAGATTTTCTATGAATTCAGATTTTTTTCTTTTCTATTATAGTATATTCTATTTTTGATTTAAGTATGTAAGAATAAACTTTAGCCTTTTCCCATTTTAAATTATGAAATTTTAAGGGACGTTAAGTGCATTCACAATGCTGTGAGACCAACACCACTGGTTTCAGACTATTTCCTTCCTCAAAGTAAAAGCTTTTATACAAAGCGCACCCCACATCCTACCTCCCCCAGCCCATGACATGCCCTAATCCCCTTTCTCTCTCTATGTCTTTACCTATCCTGGAGGTTCTCTATCAATGAAATCATATAAAAGGTGGCTTTATTTTTTTTTTGTCTGCCCATATATCTTAAGTAGGGAAGGGTGAATTTTTTGTTTGTTTTCACGTGAATTAGCATTTTTGTATTTTGAGAGGAAAATCCAGATGGATTAAAGATGAGACGTACCAAATGAAGCCCTTTTAGTAACTCTGTGCATAATCTCGGGGCAGGCACTGCTGTTCTAAATGTGAAACCAGAGCCAGAAGGGAGATGCTTAACTCTTCTTGTGGCTAAATAAAACCAAACAAAAGCAGAAAACAAAGGCCAAGAAAGACAGCTGGAAAGACAAACCACAGCCTGGTAAAAGCTTTCCTCATGACTCAAGGTCAGAGAAAATCTTCACATCCCTGTGATCCAAAAACCTCTTGAAGCCCAGTGTCCTGAAAAGAAACAAAACACACACAGGCGGTTCCAATGAGAGGCAGTGCAGGTGGCCAGTATGTGCTAGAGATGCTCGACCTCTCAGGTGAGGACACAGGTAGATGGACAGACTGCAGAGACAGCATTGGCCACCATCACACTGGCAGGTCTTTAGCCCGGTGACAACCAACCCTGGTGACAATGTGAGCAGGCAGAGGCCCCAGGAGGTCCCCTGGAGGGAAGAGCAAATGGACGCTCCTCTCCAGCAGAACAAGGTGCAGGATACATCAAAGTGCCACAGGTGCATCCCTTCCCTAGCAGTGCTGAGCCTTAGAGAAGATCCCACCAAAGTTCTTGCACAATTTTCAAAGATAATTTTTCTTCAGTAACATGAATTCAAAATAATCAATATGTCATCAAGGGATTTTCAGAAGTGACCTGCCCTGGACCAGAACAATACACACACATAAATACACACATATACACATTAACATATACACACATACATACAGGAAAAGAGACAGACTGAAACACAGAGAAGCAGGTGGAGACAGAGAAACAGAGAGAGAGATAAGACAGAGAGACAGGCACTGAGAGACAGAGAGAAGGAACACTGGAGCTGGTAATGAGTGGAACTCATGCACATATTCACAAGTCAGTCCACATGTCAGAACCTGGTCCCAAAGTCCACCCACCCTCAAGGGTAGTGTGTGGAGATCACACAAGGGCGTGGGAACAGAAGGTAAAAAATAGGAAGCCATTGAAGGGCAGCCCACCACAGAGGCCAAGATGGGAAACTGAGCCTGTATGTCAACATGAAAGATTGACCTAGGAGGTTGTATGCCAGAGCGGATGATGTCACAGTTGTATTTAATTTCAGTCTCACAACTGGGAGCTGGGAAGCAAGCAGCAAGGAAAGTGACTTTCTACAGACGCCAATGCAAACCCCGGCCTGTGTGGCATGTGCTCTGTGCTCCGCCAGCCCTCTGTGGAGTCCTTCCTTTGATGAGTCTGTGCACGGGGTCCCTGTGAAGCCAGCCCATGGGGGTGACAGATGAAGTAGGTGTTTCTATGTCTAGAGACAGGATGGCTTCTCTAGGAAGCAGGGGCCAGAATGATCCCCACTGTGCCGATGGGGGATTGGGGAGTCCCTGGGAGGCACTTGGCTTCTCCAGGGTGACAGCACTGCTGAGTGGGCGGAGCCAGGTCTGAACCCAGCTGTGTCCTCAGAGCTGCGGTGCTGGCTGTATCCAGGCCTCGCCAGGGCTATGGGGGGGCTGATTTCGTGTCACTGTGTGTGGACATGGCATGGAGTGAGAAACGAGTGATTGGCAGCCCAGAAAGGCCCTTGGGGAGCTTTGTGTCAGGAGGAAGCTTGCATAAGTGGACCCCAGGAAGTGACCTCACTTCCCTGGCAATAGAACCCAACAGAACTTGGAACCGAAGTCACCAGGCACCCACTCTGTAGAGAAGTCCCTACTCAGCTCACTTGGTTGGAGACAGAGGCATTTTCTTCTGCATCCCAATATCCCGAGGCCACAGCCCCCAGAAAGCCCGCAGCGAGGGGCTGTGCCAACGCTGCCGGCACTGGGTCAGGTCTCACCCAAGGCGCCTCTGGCCTTTTGGCCAGAGAGACCCAAAGGTAACACAGGGAGTCACAGGGCAGGCCCACTCAGGCCAGGCCACCTCTCAGATTCCACCCAGGTAGCCCCATGGCCTCTTCCTGGCTGGTGGAGGTGGAGCAGTCATGTTGGGGATGGGTTTCTGCCTCAAGCAAGAGCAGCTCATAGGGCTGGGGGGCTGGTCACATCCACAGCCCAGGTTAAAGCTGGCTGGCTGGGATGTGGAGAGCCGGGAATGTTCCTGCTGCCCGAGGTGGAGCCCATACTTTCTGGGTGTGTCTTTTCCCTCCCGGACGTCTGAGTTGAATAAGGTCCCAGTCTGATCTGGCAGCAGAGGGTCGAGTGGACAGAATCAGGAGTGTTCTTTGCTGGGCAGGGCTCTGAGACTTCCAGGCCGGGTCAGCTGCTGGTCACTGTCATTGCAGAGCCAGATACCACATATTGAACAGAAGCTGATGAAAAGAACACCAACGCCCCCTCCACAAGTGAAGGGCTGGTGTGCCACTCTTCTGAGGGCCAGCACAGGCTCCAGGTGGGTCTGGATTTGGAGGGGTCCCCACCACCATGGCCCAGAAATCAGTGGGGCAGGCCTTCGACCCAGACATCACACCGGGCTCTCCCCAGGGACCTGCTCGGGGCTGACGGGTAGCTCAGCACACCCGGCTCTGACCTGGGGTACCGTGCCCACCTCGCTGCAAGTCAGGTGGAGGACCAGGAGCCCCCAAAGCAGAGCCCGAAGGTCAGAAAGGCAGGGCTGGTGCATGTGTGTAGGTGAGGGAGGGGCGAGGGCTGGGCCGCACAGGGAGGTGTCCCCAGAGGCTACTTTTGGGACCAGAGCAAAGACTGGAATTAGACCACCTGTCTGGAAAAATTCAGTCACAGAACACATAGTGTGGGCACTTTCTGGGTGGGAGCTGTCTGGAAAGCCCTGGGAAGTTTTCTGTACTTGAAGAGGCACATGGAAAGGGAGGCTGGTAGGTAAATTTTTCCTCTCTCACAGCATGAGCTCTTCCACAAGACTTAAAACTCTCTCCACATCCAATAATTTCAGAGGAGGCAGAGTCAGGGGAAGATGACCGAGACCAAAAAAGGACGATCTGGATGCAGCAGGAGACACCGAGCTCCCTCCTGCCGCTCCTGCAGCTCCTCCTGAACCTGCATCTGCACCTGGACTGATGGGCAACGGAGAACCAGTTCAGGCATCACCACCACCTGGGGCAGAGCCCCCTCTGCACCCACCTACACCTTCTTCCCCAAAATGTTCCCCAAAATCCCACCATCAGTCCCCTCCCCCTCCCCCTCCCAATCTTGATGTCCCTTCCCCTGGAGAAGTTTTTGTTTGGTTTTCTTTAGTTTCCTTTGTTTGTTTCACATCATTTATGGCATCCTTTATTTTTCTTTTTAGAGTTTCATGTAATAAAATAGAGACTTTTCCCCTTTTAAATTGTGCAATTCAGGAGCATTAGGGGCATTCACAATGTTGTCCGACCATCACTACCATATAGTTTCACACTATTTCTTTCCTCAAAGTGAAACCATGGATCCAGAGGGCGCACTCCCCTCCCTTCTCACCCAGCCCCTGACAACCCCAAGTCCTCTTTCTTTATGCGTGTCTTTATCTTTCCTGAGTGTTCCTTGTCAATGAAACTTTTAAAAAAGTTGTTTTTTGTCCCTGCCCACATGTTTTAAGCTGGGGCTGGTGATTTTTTTTTTGTTCTCACTTGAAACAGCATTTTTATTATTTTAAGGGTATATCCAGGTGGATTAAAGATGTGATGTACAAAATGAAGCCCTTTTAGTAACTCTGTGCAAAATCTCAGAGTAGACACTGCTGTTCCCCCTGTGACACCACAGCCAGAAGACAGAAGGTAGATGCTTAGCTCTTCCTGTGGCAAAAGCAAAACCAAACAAATCAAAAAAATTAGCAAAAGCCCAGAAAAACTGCTTGAAAGACAAACCACAACCTGGAAAAAGCATTCCTCATAACCCAAGGTTGGAGAAAGATTTCCCATCCCTGTAGTCCAGAATCCTTTTGAAACCCAGTGTTCTAAATAGAAACGGAACAGACATGGGCAGTTCCAATGAGAGGCAATGCAGGTGGCCAGTGTGTGTTAGAGATTCTTGACCTCTCACGTGAGAACACAAGCAGGAAACACTGCAGAGACAGCACCGCTCACCAACACACTGGTGGGTCTTTAGTCAGGTGACAATCAGCCCTGGTGACAATGTAAGCAGGCAGAGGCTCCAGCAGATCCCCTGGAGGGAAGAGTGAAGGGACGCTCCTCTTCAGGAGAACAGGGTGCAGGGCGCATCAATGGGCCACAGATGCGTCTTTCCCCAGAAGTTCTGATCTTTACTGTTCATCCCACTAAAATCCTTACACACCTATTCAAAGATGCCTTTTCAAGGGTGTTCATCACAGCACTGGTTGAAACAGTCGGAATTAAAGCAGCACTAATGTTGACGGAGACGGGATGGGGTCAATTCGTTCTGGTTCATGTGGATGAATGAATGCTGCGCAGTTGGAAAAGTGGATGCCAGTTCTCAATCCAATGTCAAGGGAGGCCTCATGGTGGAAGTATACAGACTCACCGTCTGCACCCAGGGCCCCATCTGCACGACCACATATGTGTGAAATCAGCATAGATGTAAATTGATCTAATTG